GGGGCCAGGTTCTGCCTCGTGGTCCCCGGTAGGCAAGAACTCCTAGCACTTTGACTTATGTCATAAAGTTATACATATCCATTCAGCCTGGATAGCTCCAGGTTGCCTCCGGGACTCACCCAGAAAATGGTGTTTCATTACATTCAATGCTGGTTTTTTGAAGCCGACTCAATGTTGAAACTCTAGTTTTAGAGATAATTGAAGTTGAAGTTATCGACAATGTATTAGGTAATTCTATTTCATTAATTTACTTGTATGGTTTAATTTAATTAAATTAAATTAAGTTGCAGCAACGTGTGAGGTTGGTTGCCTTTCCGGATGCCCCGCAGCTGCCCCGCTGAATTATACTGTAGTGAGACTCGGGTGGCTTCGGGGATTGTCCCTTCCGGATCAGCGGCGGAGGCATTCGAGCCTGGTCCTCCTGGTCGAGCTTTTGGGTCATGCCAACGAGCCCCTTTCATCCCTGCTTTTCCGGTAGACTCTGCTTTTCTCCAAAGGCAAAGGGTTTGGAGGACGGCTCGGCCCCGGGTCCTGACGTGGAGGATTCCTGGGGCTGGGGAGGAGTTGACTTGGGGGGGCCTGAGCCCCACTTGTCCCTGCTTGGGTGTTTGGTACCCTCAGTGCAGGGTTTGTTGTTACAGGGGGAAGGTTTTTTCCTTTCATCCTCCCTGTACGATTTTGTTAAGAGTTCAACTCCTCCCCGGGTTCGGGTCCAAGTTCCCTTGGGTTCTTCGGTTCCCTCCTTCTGGAGGTTTTTTGGCTTCCCGCATCCTACCGAGGAAGGTGTGGGAGGCTCCTTGCGCCTTACCTCCTGCGTGACCCGGATTACGCCTCAATAATGAAGCCTTCTTTTTGAGTTTGGCTCCTCTTTTTCTTTATTGGGTGCGTTACAAAGTGCCGGAGTCTTCCTGGCTGGCAGACTGCCTTTTCTTCTTTAGGGGCTTGGCATTCATGCTGTCGGAATGCGCACTCGAGTGGCGAGATTTGCTTACGGTCGTTCAGGTTTTCCTGGGGGGTGAGTTGGAGCACCTCAAGGTGTGCTAGTTCGCCCCCGTCCTTCCTTATGATGTCAGCCAGGTGCGGCTTCACGTGCAGGTTCCTTTTCGGCATCCCTGGTGGCCGAGGATTTGTGCTCCTGTGGGCACTTCGCTTCGGTTCTTGCGCTTCTTTTCCCTGCTGGAGCTGTCTTCGGACTGTCTCGTGCTGGGTGTGGAGGAGCTGGGTCCCAGGCCAGGGTCTGGTGTGCTTGCTTTGGCAGCTCACCTTTTTGTACGTTGCTGTTTGCAGTCTGTGGTGGTGCTTTTTCTGCAGGCGGCTTCGTCCTTTGTAGGACTTGTAGATTCTCTGGGAGGGCCATGGAGGTCCTGCCCGGAAGGGTTGTGCCAGGTCTCGGGGTTCCTTCGGTCATCGTAAGCCAGTAGTGCCAGATTCGGGGTCAGCACCTCTTCTGGAGCCGTGGGCGTTCTGGCCGGCACAGTGATCGCTCTTAGCGTCGGTTGGGCTCTCATAGGGGTCGTTGGCCCTTTTGCGGGTTGCCCCATTGACGGGGTGATGGGGTGGAGGCTCCCATAGTTTGCTCTCCCCTGGTCCCACGATTCGTGGAAATTTCGGGTCGTTTCCTCCGACCTGTGGTGGCATTGGGTCGCTCCTCCTTCAGGAGGATCAGGGTGTCCCTCAGGTGGCTTCCACCTGTTTTCAGTTCCGAAACGGGACTGCAGATCTGTGATTCATGCTGGACTTGTCTAGTCTGAATCCATAGGACTTTTGCCCCCTCCGTTCGGATGACTACTGTGTCTCGGGTCCGGACGCATTTTGGTTTTATAATTTTATTGTATACATCTCGATTCATCCTGGGTTCCATGACTGGCTCGGGTTTGTCGTGGGACAAGAAGCTTACCGCTTTCATTGCCTTCCATTCGGCTTGAATCTGGCACCTTGAGTGTTCACACGCCTTACCAGGTCGTGGTAACTTGTTTGCTGCTGTTAGGGGTTCAGGTTGTGGCTTACCTTGACAACTGGCTGGTGTGGGCTCCCAGCCAGTTGGCGTGTCTGCTCGCCAGGGATATGGTTCTTTCCCAGCTTGCCGGGTTCGGGTTTATGGTGATCTGGAGGAAGTTCCTTTTGGTTCCCTCTCAGGTTCGGACTTGGCTGGGTCTGGTGTGGGACTCGGACAGCGTCCTTGTCTCTCCCTCCTGTGTCGCTGTTGCAGCTGCGGTCCCGCTTCCGACTGTTTTTGGAGGCCACCTGGGTCACACGTCAGTTATTTGAGCGGCTGTGCGGGAGCCTGAACTTCGCTGTGCTGGTGTATCCATTGGGTCGGATCTGGCTTTGGTGAATGTTCTCGTTTCTTCAGGGTCGTCCCATCTGCTGCCCTTGCGATCGATGGGTTCGAATCCCGGGAGCCTTGCAACGGCTGCTGCATAGCTGGCTTCCTCTGTGGGTTTTTCAGGGTTCTATGCTGTGGCGCCTCCCCAAGCCCTCACTCGATGTGTTCACGGATGTCTCGTCTCTCGGCTGGGCTTTTGTGACAAGTGCTCACCAGGCCAGCCAGGGTCGGTGGGGTTCGTCCTTCCGTTTAGCTCACAGCATGGCGAGGGAGTTTGCAGTGGTGTGGCATTCGCTTCAGAGGATTTGGGTCGCTCGAGGAGCAAAGATCCGGCTCCATTTGGACTGCTCCCCGGTGGTTCATTGCCTGAACCACGGGGTTTTATGCGGTCCTTGGTTCTTTGGGGCTGGTCGCTTCGGGTGACTCGTCTGTTGAGTTTTCAGAGTTTGGCTCTCCTGGCGGTTCATGGTCAGGGGGTATCAAACGTCCTGGCGGACGGCCTGTTTTGGTTCCTTCTCCTTTCCACGGAATGGACGGTCAACTGGGACTCGTTCAGTTGGCTCTGCCAGACGTACGGGCGCCCAGAGGTGGACCTGTTCACACTGGCATGATCGAGGCGTCTTCCAGTTTATGTGGCGCCCTTCCCAGACTGCGAGGCCGTCAGGGTCGATGCCTTTCGGCTGGACTGGTCAAGGTGGAGTTACCTGTACCTCTTCCCTCCGGTCCAGTTGTTGCTCCGGATCCTGGCTCGGTTGGAGACTTATCAAGGGAGAGTAGTCCTGTTGGCTCCTTGGTGGCAGGGCCAGTCTTGGTTTCAGGCGTTTCTTGCTTAATGTCTGAAACCAAGAGTCTTCCCTCGGCTCCGCCTCTTTCAGCAGATCGGTCCGATCCGTTACGTGGCTGGTTCGATCTTCTCCACTCTTTGCATTTGGTCGCTTTGACGCTTGTGTATCACCACTTGTTTGGTGATCAGGTGGCTTAGTTGATGGTGTCCCACCTGCGAGCTTTGTCTAAACGGCTGTATGAAATTTCCTGGCAGTCCTTTCGGCAAATTTTTGCTTCGTAGGTTGTCTTCGATTCTGATTGGGCTGTTCTGTCCTTTTTCTTAGTTGTTGCAGGACCGTCATCCTGTGCCAAATTCTGTCGCCTCGTTTCGTGTGGCGCTGGCGGAGCCCCTGCAGCTTGCTTTCGGGGTGGATGTCTCTTCTGCTCCGTTTTACAAGCGTACTCGGATGTTGTTTCACCTCCAGCCTGCTCAGGCGCTGCCCGAGCCGTCCTGGTCGTTGGACCAGGTGCCCTCTTTTCTCTCTCCTCGGTTTGTGGGGGCCCCTCGGTTCAGGACTGTTTTTCTAAGGCTCTTTTCTTGAGGGCTTTGGCCTCTGGGGGTCGGGTTGGGGAGTTTCATGCTCTCCGGCACGGGTTTCTGCTCTTTCCGTCCTGGTGGTCCTTTCGTTCGTTTGCAGCCTTCTCCTTTTATGGTGAAGAATCAGTCTGCTGCTTTTTGAAGGGGTCCTTGGGTTGTCGATGCTTGGTTGGTTCGGCCGGGGGTGCATCATGTTTTGTGTCCAGTTGCGGCTCTTCGCCAGTATCTGCGCGCCAGGGCCTCCGTGGCAGGGGACCCGGTTTACCTTCTTCCCTGTTCCAAGGTGCGGTTCTCCCAGGTCGTCCACAGGATTATTCGGTGCAGTCAGCCCGCGGTATATCCCAGTGCCCACGACGTTCGTAAGTTCGTGACTTTGGCTGCTGTTTTTTAGAATATATCCTGGGCTGACATTCGGGCACGGGGCTTATGGAGGTCGAACAGGTTCCTGGCTGCAAGGTATCTCGTTTATGTTTCTGGGTCTTCTCGGGCGTGTGTAGCCTTGGGTCTCAGGTTGCAGTCATTTGTCTCGACTTTCTTGACTTGCTTTGAGGAGTTGAGGAGCGAGTGACGACCACCTCCCGGGTAAGTCCCTCTTTTTCTTTCTTTGGTTAGGTAGTTCCGGGGAGCCAAAAGGGGCTCTCCACAGAAAACCAGTGTTGAATGTAATAAAACGCCATTTTCTGGGTGAGACCCGGAGACTCCTCTGCATCCCTCCCTCCGGTCGGTGTTTTTTTTGCGTTTTTTGACGCTCGGCCTCTGAACTGAGGAGAGTTGTCGGCGTGGAGGTCTGGGACCCTCCCGGGGAGGGGGGGGTTGCACAGACGGATGCGCGGGGTTTGTGGTGACGTCATACTAATTTTCTTGGTTTTGATTGGGGAGTTCTGTTGCTAGTTCGGCTTTCGGTTTGCAATTTATTTGACCAGCAGTAGTTTGTTTTGGAATTCCTGCCTTTCTGCATGCCTGACCTGGTTGATGGCAGACAAAGACTGCTTCCAATTACACAGGGGTGTCTTTAGGCCATTGCTCCTCGTGCCTCTCTCGAGGGGGCCCGGTTCTGGCTCTGGTCCCCGGTAGGTCTAGAACTCCTTCCATTGACTGTTGCCACAGTGTAATGTATACACATCAGCCCGGTATAGCTCTGGGGAGCCGAAGGGTCACGCTCAGAAAACGGAGTTTCATTACATTCAATGCTGTTTTTTTTTTAATGCTTAACTTAGGTAATTCTGTGTGGTATTCTTTATATAGCATATTCCTGATAACCTTGAAACCATTGAGATTTATTCAAGATCATACAATTGTGTGGTATTTCAGGCTGAGTTCTCACGATTTGGCAAGATTGTAGACATTCGCATAAATACAGCCAAGGGTAAAACTGGCCCAAAGGGGCAAGTTCCTAACTTTGGATTCATCACATTTGAAGAAGAAAGTTCTGTTAACAAGGCTCTTCATAGTAGGGTAAGTGGGCACAAAGGCTAGCAACTGTATAATTACTGTCTTTAATAATTTGTTAAAAAATGGTGCTATTTTGTATTCACTTGTCATCTTCAGTGCCAATGGGCGAGATATCAGTACTTTAAAATATAGAACACCTTTATTACGTGCATATAGTCAATTAAGGGCTTAACCATTGATTGCCTCACACTCAAATTGTGCTTCTTGGAATAGAGGTGTTATATATTATACTTATAGCAAACACTAGTTGAGTGTATAATTAATCCAATGAAAAGTAGGAATGTGATTAGCACATTTAGATAACCCAGTGTGAACATCTAAGGTCCGTGACTTTTGATCCTTCTACCAGGAATTATACAAAATATCACCGGAATAACAGCAAAAGCAAAAGCTTTAATGAGAAAATTTGAGAAGTTTGTGTTGATGTTACCAAAGCAATGTGGTTGTGAGGGCTGTATGGGATTAGAGGCCCATGAAGGTAAACAGCCAGGTAGTCACCAGGAAAGCCTTGCCCCTGGCCTGTCTGTGGGCATGGGAAATTGTCCACAAGTTGCTGATTTGTTGTGTATCCTACAAATGGCACCCAATATCTTGCCTATATTGACCCATTCAAATGAATCACATGAGATATTGGAGACCTGTTTGGAGCCAATATGCTGCATGGATCTATCTTCCTTGCCCATTCTTTTGCTGATGTTGTGCTAAGACACTGTTCCTGGTCTTTCATATGTGACAAGCTCCCATGTTTCAAGCTAAGTGCCATCTATCCTTGCACTTGTTCCTGTCGGGGTCGTTTTTCTTTTAGATTTTAGTTTTTGCTTCATGTGCGTATTTTGAGCTGGCTTATTGTGTGGGCAGCCTTGATGCTGAATGTTCTCTTGGTGCTCTCCCAGGTGTGCTTCTTCAAGCACTGAAGGTGAAGTACTTCTGCTTCACTGACATATTTCCTCTTTGGCATGTTCTGGAGTGTGCCCCCCCCCTCCCCCCCAGAGGCCAGGTCACCAGGGTGGAGAGCTTCACTTAGGACTATTCATGAGTCTTTGACTGTTTAGGCTGGGGGGCATTCTGTTCAGCCTCAATGCCTGTGTGTCCTGCTTGTATAGCTGTTTTTGGATGCTAATAATACCCTCTTTGGTCTTGGGCATGGGTGGTTTGGCCCGTTGAGCCCACTCTTGCCATGTATGAGTTTGAAGGGTGCTCATTGCCTTTCCTAAAAGATAATGGTCATTCTTCGTGCCTTAGCATGCTGTTAGGTTGGTGACACAAATGAAGCTACAGTTGTCTATGCCCCCAACCCTGATTTCACTGAACCTAATTTTGATCTCTTACATTCCTGTGTTCTTTCTCTGCCCAAATTTTTTATTTTTCTTCTTACTGTTATTTCTATTTTCACTGTCTAGTTTTCAATAGAATATTTGTAGTTTTTGTTACTTTTAATGGGCTACAACTTCTGATCTCAAAGTTTTCACCGCTTTGTGTATGTCTCCAGGGGCTGATCCTACTGCTCTCTTGATCCAGAAAGATGTTCCCTTTGTCCCTTTCCTTTTTTCCCGTCGAACATTCATTTCTCTGGGCCTTGTATCTTTGTGGGGTAAATGAGATATGATCTGTTCCATTTATCTCTCCAATATTTCACTTTTTTCTTCCTAATCTTAAACATCTCTTGGACTCGTTACAAGCACTTGTGCTCTTTTTGGTTCATTTTAATTGTTGACATTTCCTCTGGGGTAATGCTTTGACAGATACCCCAGGCTGTATTTAGGCATTCATTCTCTCTTCTACATTGTCTCGCCTGAATTCCAGAAAGCCGACTTGGTATAGACTTGCTGCTGCTCTTCCATTTATATAGCCTTGACATGTAGCCTTTCATGACCCCATAAGTGACCATATTCCCATCCTCATAACCACCTTTCATTTCTGCCCTCCTCTCTCTTCCTCGGCGGTGGTTTGATACGGCGGACTGGAATCTTTTCATTCTCCATGCTGCTCTTCCCAGCCTGTCTCATCTGCCTTTCCCTTGAGCCTTGCATATTCACAGCACCTTATTAGATACTGCCCTCCACTCTGTTCCTAATTCTTCCTCCCATGGCACATGGAAGTGCGATACCAGGTGGGATTCGAGCTTTGTTGGGGCTGTACATTTTAAGTGTGTGGCCTGGAAAAGACACGTGAGAAGAACCTGATTCTATGGCAATCTTCTATGTAAAGATTCTGTAAAACTTTATAGATTGATTTTTGACATTAATTTGTATTGGTGTGTCCCCCATGTTTCTCACCTCTGAGTTGAATGCTCTAAGGCCATTACCTTCCTTAGTCTTGTTGCATACTTCCAGAGGGGGCTGATGACACCCTCCTTTATTGTTCTGTGAGAACTTGGTTACGTCTTCCCTGCATATTTCTCTACCTCTCCTGCAACTCTGTCGTCTACACCATACTGGGTTAGGCCTCATCTCTGGTGCTTTTTGTTTTCCTCTTTCCAGAACATCTGTTGAAACTGGCATCTTATCACTACATGATTTTCTTAATCATTACTGCCTTTGCTCCTTCACATAGTTTCATCAACATCCTCTCACATGTGCTGTACTTTGACTGTTACCCCCTCAGGAGGGCCCTGTTTCATCTTATCACCTTCCTTTTCCTGTAAGAATGGCTCATTTGCACGATAACCTCTCAGTTCACATTTTCAATATCCTTATACTGTATGTTGTTCCAACCTTTTCCCCACGGAAGGTCCCACTGACAAGGTTTTTGAGAGGCCTTGTCCCACATGGTGAGGGTTTATACTATTACTACTACTGATATGAAGTGCCTTTTCATTGAACACTGTTCACAAATGGATCTAAGTCTGCCAACGATGTTGAATACTTAGTGGTCATTCCTGACCAAACCTATATGTGCTGCATGCCCCTAGAGACTAGCATCTTCACAGTGGTATTTTATGCAATTTAGCATGCTCTTCGTCAGCATTTTCCAACGTTAATGTCCCCTTGTCAATATGGTAGACTCTGCTCTCGTGGCTCTGGAGACCTTTAACCTTTTCCCATCTTGTGCTGGTTGAAATCCAATAATGACTTTTTATTTCTAGCAAATTTAAAATGGTAACATTTTGCAGGGTTGCCAGCCATATTGGTATTACTTTAGATGAATGTGTGGACACTGCTGCTAAGGCGACCATTTGCACTTTGTTCCATTTCCCAAAAGGGGCTTACTTGTTTGTGTTTTTACCCCATTGTTTATTCTGCATCTGCAATGCTTAGCAAAGCTGTTGGTCTGGCATTACAGATGACCTATTCCCTGGCCTTTCTCCTATCACCATAATAGTTCATGGGAAATGGCTCTAATTTATGTATTTGCCCCACATGCTTACTCCTGGGCACCTAATGGACCACCACCCTGTTCCCTATAGTTTGAACTGTCTGTCCCACTTGGTCGTGGGAACTGTAGAATGTCCCAGTTTTCAAGATGATCGCATATTATGTTTTCTTAGTATCCCTCTATAGAATCTTTTAATAATCTGATACCCTTGATATCGTTCACATTATGTCCTTTTGGTCTCTTATTGGTATCCTGAATGACATTTAGCTCTTTTGAATACTCAGTTATAAGACAATGTTATATATTTGTCCTGGCCTGGCACCTTATTTTGATCCTTAAATGAAAGTACCAGGATCCCTTCAGGGAGGATGAGCTAGAGGGAAGGATAAATAAAATGTGACGCACAAGATGCATGGAGGCCAATTCCATCCAGGAAAGATGGGGAAGAAAAGATCAAGATAAACCCATGGTTAAACAAATAATTAAAAGAGGCCAAGTGAGATGGCTTGGGAAAGGGAACCTAGGCAAATGAAGGCACTAAAAAGGACCAGCATGTAGTATATAGGGCTGATTGAAAGATAATGTTACAGAGGTAAATTGTAGGATATTTGACTAAATAGGGAGTACAGTACTGTAGTTGCCACCTAAGAGTGCTGCTGTTTGTTTTATAGAAATGATCTTATGGTGTAGGTGGGATTGTACATGTCTGCAAATTATGCTGAATAGATCGGGGATAGATCAAGTATGTCTGCATAAGGTTGCTAATACAATTTATTTATACATGTTCATATTTTTCCATAGCCTATTCACCTCAATGGTGAACACAGGTTGAATGTCGAGGAAAAGAAAGCGCGCCTACGAATGGATGGTGGAATGGGGCGGCCAAACAGTGGTCGTGGCGGCATGGGTGGTAGTGGCGGCTTACGTCAAGGTCCTCCAGGGGGGCTTCAGGGCCGTGGTGGTGGCCGACCCGGTTTCAACCGAGACAGCAATCGAGGTGGCCCCGGAGGACCAAGAGGTGGCTTTGTCCAACGACGTTAGTGACCATTTATAGTCACTGTGACCTCCTCTCTTACTCACAAGTAACCTCTGTCCAGTGCAGCATATCTTAGCAGATGGTTGCATAAGTGGTCCAAATATCTAGAACAGGACTGCTAAATCTAACCTCAATAGAGCCATTGTACAACTTCATGGTGTGCTCGGTGAACGTTACTGTTTTGATATGTAACTAAACGGTGGCCACTTTGAAAATACTGGTGCTTGAGGTGATGACAGATGAAACAAGTGAAATATGTTACAGAAACTTCACAATAACTTAAGTGGCTTCTTTTGTAATTTAGTTTCTTCTATGTCTCAGTAACTGTTTTAAAATATCAAATTGATTTCCATTTTGTGAATACAAACATTTTCCACTGGTGACTTGTACTTAGACCTAGTGCCTCCCTTGATAGATTCTGTTGTGTACGAGTAAGAACCTTCCTCTCTGGATGGTTGTGATGAAATTGTCTCTATAGTAATTACTCATATTTGGCAGTAAAACAAATTGTTTGTGATTACCAAGATCATTCCCATTATAAACAGCTACTAGTCACAATTGAAACAAAAAACTTTTTATGCTTGTTTGTTTCTCTTACAAAGTAAAGTTTGATAGTATATTTAAATATGGATTTTTTTTTTTTTTACTTCAGCTGAGACTGATGTACATTTTGTGATTGTGGGGCTTATTGCAATTTCTTGCAACAGTCAGCATGGAGACAAATTTTGAGATGCTCATCTGACTTGGCCAATCATCCTTGCTCACACTAGATCATTTACATTTCTAGCACTACTGTCAGTGGGCATTATTACACTCAAATATTAACCTGTTTAATACAGCCATTACTGGTCAAGCACAGATCTGCATTTTTATTATATATACAAATATATATATACATATATATATATATGTTGTGGGTGAAATTTATAGTTTTCACATATCTGCTCATGAGGTACTTTAGCTGGAGGAACAAAAACAATAGGTAATGGGGGTGGGTGAAGGCCTGGGATGGGGGGGGGGGAAGCTGTCGAAGGTCACACTGTTCGTAGCAAGTCACTTCTGGTCACTACTCTTACACTTGATTTGACCTGTTTTAATTTTTTTGTAGTGTGCTAGTTTTTCACCAAATGGAAAATTGTGGAGCATTTATACTTCACGTGTGAGTTGTAAACCACCTTAAACATTTGTAGTAAACAGTATGCAAGAGGAGAAAATAGCCTTATCACCATCAACACTTGCAACTCTATGAACATATTTCATTCCAAAGGATTTAGTTCAAAGGTTGTCTAAGCATGCAATGATTTTCAGATAATGAAGATGGATTTTTTTATTGTACAAATCAGTATTAGTTTTTTGTTCTTGTTCTTGTTACTGGTTGCGTTTAAAGGCAAGTTCCCATGTTAAAGATGGATGTGCAGAAATGTGATATTAGTTTAGATAGTGTGAGAGCAGTTATGGAGTGTTCTGAAAGTGATTGCATGTTCAGGCAGCTTTGATACTCTCCTTTTCTTATGGTTACAAAAGGGATTTAATAATTAATTACCCAAAGTCCAGAGCTTAATCATCCTCTTGAGAAATCACTAAAAAAATGTCTGAAAATAATTTTGCTCAGTTGATGACCTGGAATGCAGTAGTTTCTAACCAGTTGTGATTATTGGTAACTCTTGTGGCATTAAACTTAAATAACTGAGTTTTAAAAAGGAAAACATCCATAACTTAATTTTAACGGTGAAACTACTCAGTTCAGTCCCTAAAAGTTCTCGTTTCTGAATCTTTGGGGAATGTGATAATTCTCGGATCCATCTTATTTAATTGAAGGTTTTCCGAGAGTTCAAATGCTTTTTCTACAACTTTATTTATGGTCTGTTCATGCAGCTCCTCCTGGTCAGAATCTTTGTGACAAATGCAGAATGAAAGTGAGAAATAAAAGCCTCTTTTCTTTTTTTGTTTTATGTCACCTAAGTTGTAAAGCATCATTTGTGAATTGAAACCAACTACTTGCCGCACTGCCCCACATTGGCTTACCATAAGTGGGTTGGGAAAGGAAAGTGTCGATTTGGACCAACATGTAAGTTTTTCCATCCTGACATGCGCAAAACATCACTCGAGGACAGAAAATGCCATGACCTCAGCTGCCCATATATTCATGTGAAAGCATGGAATGCTACATACAGGGTAGCGAGCAAGATGATGGATTTGGAGGAAACCCAAATAATTTTTTATGCCAAGACGAAAGAGATTTAAAAATGGGGAACAGAATGCATGGAACTGGATGACAAACCCACTTGCATACCAGAAGGACAGATACAATTATGGCCAGTTCCCTAAATTGTATAACTTGCAAGGTGATGGAGAAGATCGTGAGGAAAAGGCTTTTAGAGCATCTGGAGAGAGTTTTGTGGCGCACCCCCTCCCCCCCCCTTCCCTGTCTGCCCCATTGCCGTCGTGAGGGGGCTTGGTGGGCGGCTGCCGGAGTGTGATGCTCCCTGGGTCAGTCCTCTGTCCCTTTGCAGCCTTGTGCTCCTGCTGCTGTCTTTACCAATTGTGCCAGATATATTTTCCTTTTCCTTGCTTTTCATTTTTCTTCCCCCTCTTCTCCTTTCTAATTGTCATTTCCTGCCGACCTTTTACCAGTCTTGATTATTCTTTTGGATTTCTTCTGTTTTGACGCCCGAGTGTTTGGGGAGGCATACTCTTACACCCATAGAACTGGTACCCAACGTCTCGAGCGAAGGGAACCTTTTATTGTCAATCCGCCTTTTTATCGGTGAACCCGACCTCGACGACTGACGGTTCCTAATGTGGCGTTTGTGGGACGTATACTCACGACGCACCCTTAGGGGAGCCCGGCAAATTTGGCAACAAGTCTCTTGTTGGGTGTCCTATCCTCTAATTGTGGCTCCATGGGGGCACATTCGGGAATGAAAGTATGACCTCTCGTTCTCGTGTCGATAAATATCGTTCGTCTTATGATTTCTCAGGCTTGTGGGGTGGGCGACCTAGCCCCCCGAGTCAGACTGTGTTGGAAGACCGGGCTCTGAAGCCTTCACTATATTCAGCCCAGACCTTGCTCCTACTTTGACCCTCCTGACTACTCCCCTCGGCTCCCCTCCCTCCTCTGTGGTTGGGTCGAGCCACACGCCCCCAGTGGTGACCACTTCGTCCCCCTGGCTCGGCTCAGTCTCTCATTGTGACTACTGCGCCTTTTACCCCCTCTCTCTCTCTCTGGGGGTTCTCAATGCCGTCCCCGCCACGGCCGCACTCGCACAAGCCCTTCCCGTACTAATGTTTACAGTGCCTTGTTTGGTCCCGCTACGTGGGCTAAATACTTTGATCTCCACCGTCTGGATTCTACTCCTGACGATATCTCCCTCCATAAACACTTTGTTGATTCAGTAGATGCCTCTGTTACTTTTAACTCCACCAGTTACGGTACGCGTGTCGTCGCTGCTGCTCCTCAGGATGCAGCTACTCGCTTAGCTGCTTTGTCCTGCATTGGAGAGACCCATGTTCGGGTCTCCAAAAACGCTCGGTTAAATGCTGGTGTTGGCACTGTTCTCCTCCCACACCATGTTGCAACTGGTGTTCGGGACCTCAACGATTGCCATGAGGATATTAAACATCCTCGAAGCCCAAGCCCATTCTGTCCTCCAGGTGGACACGTTTACTCGACCCCCTCGTGGTCGTCGCCGTCAGCCCCTTCGAGTTGAAAAAATCACCTTTGATAGCACGGCCCTTCCGCCCTCTATTATTCTTGCTGGTGTCAGATGCTCCATTCAGGAATACATTCCCTCTCTTAGGCTTTGCAATAAGTGTTGGAAGTTCGGGCACGGTGTCCTCAAATGCACAAGTACTGTGTACCTATGCTCCATGTGCGGGGACGATAGTCATTCCAAGTCCGAGTGCACTTCTCCCCAGGCTCGCTGCCTCAATTGTGGTGAGGCCCACTCTACTTTCTCATGTTCGTGTATACACTTCAAACTCGAGGAAGCCGTCCTCAACTTGAAGCACCGTGATCGTCTGTCTTTTCCTGAAGCGAGACGCCAAGTTCGTCGTCTCACCCCATTCGCGGGCGTATCCTACGCTCGTGTGTTGCGTTCGACCTCTCCTCGTCCTTCCCACCTTCCTCAGTCTCAACCCTTTCCAGGCCTTAAACCCAACCACACCCACCACCTCCTCCCCTATTCCTTTGCCTCCTGTCCCGACAGGTCTCCCTCCTGGTTCTCCGTCTGGAGTTTTCCCTCTTCTTACCCAGTCCACCATGTCTCCTATGTCTTCTTCCCCATCTCCCCCCACTCTTTCTTCTCGACCCTTACCCCAGTCTCTTGACCTTCCACACCACCTGTCTGTCCAGGTTGATATCCATCATCCTCCCAGCAATCTTCAAGCCATTACTTCACTATCTTCTGGAATGTGAAGCAACCAATGACCTTAGAAGAGCTTTAAGAGTTCCTGAATCATGCAGTGGCCACCCTGAAGCCATCAACACAGCCACTCTCCTGGTCAACAAAGGTGTCCAGCAGCTGGACACCCTCATAAAGACTGTGAAGCAGTATCCTCCCCCGCGATAACAGCTTGATGGTTAAATGCAAACTCAGAATACTGAGAAAAAAAAATGTACCACTTACAGGCTATTCATGCCCGTGCCACCTCTTGGGTGGCTTAATCTTCATTATCATCATCAGCAATCTTCGTGTTGTTCGCTCCCATTCCTCTTCTGCTGAGACCGTTGAGTCTCGCCCGGTACGTTGTTACTGGAGCGCCTGTCTCTTCGAGTCAGAAACGTAAGCCTGGCTCCTCTCTTTCCTCTCCAGCGGGTAAGTAGGTTTCGCTTTCTTCCTCACCCCCTCCCTCTGACTCTGTCACTACATCCCCTCCCATTTCAGTGGTCGGACCCCCTGTCCCAGATATGGAGGTTTCTTTTGCCCCCGATTTCCCCTCGGTTGCTGCCCTTGCTGAGGTGCACTCCCTGATTTCTGCCCCCCCCCCACCCCTCCAGCTGTCCTTGCCTGCCCCTCTCAGTTGTCTCCTCCTCCGGACCCCGTCAGTCTGCCTCTTGTCTGCTCCGCTTCCTTCCCTCTATCCTTACTAAGTTTACCCATGCCCCCCTAACACTGATTTTGCTGATCCTGCTCCTGATCCTGAGATTCTCTAATAAACTGTGTTCTTTACCTTTGTTTCTTTCTTGTTCTCTGTTACTGTCCTTTCTCTTTGATAATGTCTATTCCTCAGTGGAATATTCGTGGATTTTATGCCAACTTCCATGAATTCCAACTTCTAATTACACAGTTTTCACCACTTTGAGTTTGTCTTCAGGATGCTTGGTTCTCGTCCTGGTCACTTTCGTGGTTATTCCTTTCTTTCTCCCCCTCCCACCGAAGGGGGGGGGGAGACAGAACTGTCCCTTCCCTAGGTGGCAGTTTGCCAAGGCTGACTGGAGCCTATTCACCCTCCGTGCTACTCTCTCTGACCTCTCCTCTCTGCCTCTTCCTCGCGCCCTCCTCCTTTTTTATGACACTGTCTTCGACGCTGCCCTCTGCTCTATTCCTTGCTCTTCCTCCCGGGGCACGCGGAAGTGCGTTCCCTGGTGGAATGCGGACTGTGCTCGGGCTGTCCGCTGTAAGCGTGCAGCCTGGAAGAAACACCGACGCCGGCAGACGGCTGATTCTTTTATTTTGGAAGGCAAGTGCGGTGGCCCGTAGAACCATCCGTACAGCTAAACGTGAGAGTTGGAAATCTTATGTTTCCACCATTACGTCCGATACTCCTCTGTCGCAGATCTGGAAGAAGATCCGCAAGATTGCGGGCAAGTGCATTCCAGATGTCTGGCCGGTTCCTCGCCTCCGTGGTACTCTTGTGGCGGACCCGGTGACGGTCACGACCGAACTGAGTTGCCACTTTTCTTCTGTTAGCTTTGGTTCTCGTCTTCCTCAATCCTTCTTTCTTCATAAGCCTGTTCTTGAATCTTATCTTTTAGATTTCCACACTCATCTCCGCCTTCCCTATAACGATCCTTTCTCTCTTTCTGAACTTAAGTCAACGCCTGCCCTCGTGGTGTCAGGAGGCCTTAGGCGATAGTTGCCAAGTCGTCAATAAATCACATCTCTCGCTATTGAAACATCAAGTAATCAGTGCCCATGGCGCTAAGCTCTATGCAAAACCTGTGTTTATTAAAAAACGTTGATAAAGCGAGAGGGGCTATTCAGTAAATTCAATTTTAATAATAAAAGGATAGACTGGGAGATAATAAACAGGGAACTTACAAACATTCCATGGGGAATTGTTTTAAGTAATACAAGTCCTACAGAAGGATTAGAAAAACTGACTTTGGAAGCTTATCAAGTCTGTCTGAAACATGTTCCTATGAGGAAAGCCAGAAAGAGATCCAACGTAGAAAGAGAACGCAGACGACACTATAAACGCAGGAAAAAATAACGGAACTGCTTATGCAGACACGAATTTCCCGTCAAAAAAGGAATAATTTAATTAGGGAGATTGAAGAAATCGAGCGGAAATTGAAACACTCATATGAGACTCAAGAAAGGCAGTTAGAACAGAAAGCAATTCAGGAAATAAAGAAAAATACTAAATACTTCTTCACATATGCGTAATCAAAAGCAAAAACCACTGCCAGTATTGGACCTATTCGTACAAGTGAAGGTTCATACACGGAGGATGACAAAGAAATTAGTGAAATCCTAAAAAAGCAGTATGAGGACATGTTTAGCACTCCAATAAACAACATGAAAGTGGAAGATCCAGACAATTTCTTTATGCGGGATATTCAAACCCCTGTAAATACAACTGATATCAACACTAGCGCACTAAATTTTGAAATAGAAATTGAAAACATGCCCATGCACTCGGCCTCAGGTCCAGACTCATGGAATTCAATATTTATAAAGAAATGCAAAGTGCCGGTAGCACAGGCACTCAGTAT